TCAAGGCCGCTCTTCATTACAATATTGGTCGCAACATTGACACAAGAGCTGAATTTGTGCTGAGATGACAGTGACTTCATAAGACCATAAGGTATAGGACCAGAACTAGGCCATTCAGCCCACCCAGTCTGATCCACCATTTGATCATGGTTGGTGTTTCTTAATCACATTCTCTTGCCTTCTCCCCATAATCTTTGATCCCCTTACTTATCAAGAACCTACCTATCTCTGTCCTAATGACTTGGTCTCCACAGTTTTCTGCGGCACCGAGTTCCACAGAGTCACCACCCTCTGGCTGAAAAAGTTTCTCCTTGTCTCGGTTCTAAACGTTCATCCCTTTGCTCAAAGGCTGTGCTTTCAGGTCCTAGTTTCTCCTATGACTGAAAACGCTTTCTCCATGTTTGCTCTATCCAGGCATCTCAGTATTGTACCAGCTTCAGTGAGATCCCACCCCTCCCCAATTCTTCTAAACTTTACCGTTCCTCATGACAAATCCTTCATCCCTGGCATCATTCTTGTAAACCTCCTCTAAACCCCCTCCAAGGCCAGCACATCCTTCCCTAGGTGCAGGGTCCAAAACTGCTCAGAATTTTTCAAATGCAGTCTGGTCAGTGCCTTATGCAGCCTCAGCAGTACATCCCTCCTCTTGTATTCTAAACTCTGGAAATGAATGCTAACATTGCATTTGCCTTCCTAACTGCCAACTAAGCATGCATGTTAACCTTAAGAGAATCCTGAACTACAACTCCCAAATCTGTGTTTCCGATGTCAGAGGTTTTTCGCTGTTTAGAAAATAGTCTACATCTTTATTCTTCTTACCAAAGTGCATAACTTCACACTTCCCCCACGTTGTACTCCATCTGCCACTTCTTTGCCCACTCTCCCCACCCTGTCCAAATCCTTCTGCAGCCTTCCCGCTTCCTCAACATTATCTGCCCCCCCATCTATCTTTGTGTCACCTTCAAACTTGTTAACAATACCCATAATTCATTTGTCCCGATCATTACCATATAATGTGAATAGTTGTGGTACCATCACTGACCCCTGAGGAACTCTGCTAGTCACCAGCTGCCATCCTGAAAAAGACCCCTTTATCCACACTCTCTGCCTTTTGCCAGTCAGCCAGTCTTCTATCCATGCAGTAGCTTGCCCTAACACCATGGGCTCTTATTTTATTTAGCAACCTCCTGTGTCCCACCTCATCAAAAATCTTGTGGAAATCCAAGTAGATCATGTCCACCAGCTCTCCTGTGTCTAACTTGCTTGTTACCTCCTCAAAGAATTCTAACAGATTTGTTAGGCATGACCTCCCCTTGACGAAACTGTGTTGACCCAGCCCTATTTTACTATGCTTAATAATGGACTCTCAAATCTTAACAATGTCCGAGGTAAGGCTAATTAGCCTGTAGTTTCCTGACATCTACCTCCCTGCCTTCGTAAACAGGAGTATTACATTAGCCATTTTCCAGTTTTCTGGGACCCTCCCTGACTCTATTGATTTCTGAAAGATCGTCACCATTGCCTCTGCTATCTCCTTCAGAACTCTGGGGTGTAGTCCATCTGGTCCAAAAGATTTATTCACCTTCAGATTTTTCAGCTTCCCCAGCACCTTCTCCTTAGCGATGCCCACTGCACTAACCTCTGTCCCTGACTGTTGAAGTTCTAGTATGCTGCTGGTGTCTTCCACTGTGAAAACTGATGCAGAGAACCTGTTCAGTACCTCCAACATTTCTTTGTTCCTCATTATTACTCAAACCTCACTTTCCAGTGTTCTGTTGTCTTCTCTTGCCTTATATATACCAAAAAAAAATTCTTTGCAATTTTTTTATATTACTAGCTAGCTTACTCTCTTGTTTTATCATTTCCCCCTTTATTGTAGTTTTATTTTTCCTCTGCTGATTTTTAAAGGCTTCCCAATCCTCTGACTTCCCATTAACGTTCATCACATTGTATGCTTTTACTTTAGCTTTTATGTTGTCCCTGCCTTCCTTTGTCAGCTTTGGTTGCCTCATCTTCCCCTGTATGTTTCTTCTTTCTTGGGATGAATTTCTCCCAATTACTC